TAACCCGACCGCTCTGCAGTTTCATGGAGTGCCCACGAGTTCTTGTATTGTGAGAAAGGGAGAAAAGTACCTCTTTCTCTACCTGCTCTTTCCCATGCATAATCTTATAAACCTCAATCATGTCACCCCTCAGTCGTCGTTTCTCCAAGCTAAAGAGCCCTAAGCGCCTTAACCGTTCCTCATAGGGAAAGTGTTCCAACCCTTTTATCATTCGAGTTGCCCTTTTCTGCACTTTTTCCAAAGCTATAATATCCTTTTTAAGGTGTGGTGACCAGAACTGCACACAGTATTCCAAATGAGGTCTCACCATTGATTTATATAGGGGCATTATTATATTGGCTGATCTGTTTTCAATACCCTTCCTAATAATCCCCAGCATAGCATTGGCCTTCTTTATTGCAGTCACACACTGTCTCGACATTTTCAGTGAGTTATCTACTACAACTCCAAGATCTCTCTCTTGATCTGTCTCTGCCAGTTCAGACCCCATCAACGTGTATTTATAGTTAGGATTTTTGGCTCCAATGTGCATCACCTTGCACTTGGCCACATTGAACCCCATTTGCCATGTTGACGCCCACTCGCCCATCCTTGACAGATCCCCTTGGAGTGCCTCACAATCCTCACTGGTTTTCACCACCCTGAACAACTTTGTATCATCCGCAAATTTAGCCACTTCACTGCTTACTCCCATCTCCAAATCATTAATGAACAAGTTAAAAAGCAGTGGACCAAGTACTGATCCCTGCGGTACCCCACTGCTTACCACCCTCCACTGAGAAAATTGCCCACCTACACTCACTCTCTGTTTTCTATGAACTAGCCAGTTTTTGATCCATAAAAGGACTTGTCCTTCTATCCCATGATTTTTGAGCTTACTTAGGAGCCTTTGATGAGGAACTTTATCAAAAGCTTTCTGGAAGTCAAGGTAAATAATATCTATTGGATCCCCCTTGTCCACATGTTTGTTCACCCCCTCAAAGAACACTAACAGGTTAGTGAGACAAGATCTTCCCTTACAGAAACCGTGCTGAGTCTGCCTCAATAGGTTTTGTTCATCTATGTGCCTACTAATTCTTTCCTTAATAATGGTTTCCACCAATTTACCCGGTATCGACGTCAGACTGACTGGCCTGTAATTTCCCGGATCTCCTCTGGAACCCTTTTTAAAGATGGGAGTGACATTAGCTACCTTCCAATCCTCAGGAATGGAGGCAGATTTTAAGGAAAGATTACATATCTTTGTCAGGAGATCTACAAGTTCACATTTGAGTTCTTTCAGAACTCTCGGATGTATGCCATCTGGGCCTGGTGATTTTTCAGTTTTTAAGTTGTCTATCAGTTTTAGGACCTCCTCTCTCATCACCTCAATCTGACTCAGGTCTTCCAACACCCCTCCTGAAATCAGTGGTTCTGGAGTGGGCAAGCACTTCTCATCTTCCACAGTGAAGACGGAGGCAAAAAATGCATTTAGCTTCTCAGCCATTTCCCTATCATCCTTCAATACTCCTTTTACCCCTTGGTCGTCCAAGGGCCCCACTGCCTCCCTGGCTGGTTTCCTGTTTCTAATGTATTTGAAGAAAGTTTTATTGTTGGTTTTTACGTTTTTTGCTATATGCTCCTCATATTCCCTTTTTGCCTGCCTGACCTCAGACTTGCATTTTATTTGCCATAGCCTGTGTTCCGTTTTATCAGCCTCACTGTGACTAGCTTTCCACTGCTTAAAGGAATTCTTTTTACTTTTTACAGCCTCCATTACTCTGTTTGTTAACCATGCAGGCTTTTTCCTATACCTGTTTGTGCCTTTCCTAACCTGCGGAATATATATTTTTTGAGCTTCTAGGATCGTAGTTTTAAATAGATCCCAAGCTTCCCCAATTGTTTTGACCCTTTCTACTTTTCCTTTCAGTTTCCTCCCCACGTGTCCCCTCATATCAGAGAAATTACCCCTTTTAAAGTTAAAAATGGTTGTGTGAGTCTTTTTGGCCAATTCTCTATTTGTACAAATGATGAACTCAACAACATTATGATCACTGTTTCCAAGCGGTGCAATCACTTTTACATCTCTCACCAGGTCTTGAGTGTTACTTAGGACCAAATCAAGGATTGCCTCTTCCCTGGTAGGTTTCGTGACCATCTGCTCCATAGCACAGTCATTTAGAGTGTCTAGAAACTCAATCTCTTTTTCCCGACTAGAACACATATTGACCCAATCAATGTGTGGGTAGTTAAAATCACCTATTATGACACAGTGGTTTTGTCTAGCTGCTATCTTTAAGGCATTCATCATTTTATAATCCTCCTCTATCTTTTGATCTGGTGGGCGATAACAAACTCCCAGTGTTAAGTTTCCTTTTGGCCCCCCTATTTCAACCCATAGAACTTCCAGAAGCGAATCCAATTCACTTAGCCTCTCAATCTTTCTAGACTTTATACCCTCTCTGACATACAGAGCTACCCCACCTCCAACCCTTCCCCCCCTATCCTTCCGATATAATATATAACCGGGAATCACTGTGTCCCACTGATTTTCCTCATCCCACCAAGTTTCAGAAATACCCACAATGTCTATTTTTCCCTCCAACACCAAGCACTCCAACTCCCCCATTTTACCTCTGACACTTCTAGCATTTGTATAGAAACAGCTGTAATTTCCCTTACAAGTTAAGCCTGCATCCTTCCTCTTGCCATCTCGAGACGTTGTCCGGCAGTCCATGTCACCAGCCATGGCCTCTGTGGACAATTTCAATCCACCTCCCTGTAGAAAAGCAACCGGTACCCCCTCACCTCTCTCAGATGAGCCATCTCGAGACGTTGTCAGGCAGTCCATGTCACTAGCCATGGCCTCTGTGGACAATTTCAATCCACCTCCCTGTAGAGAGGGATAGTTTAACCCGGCGTGAGCTTACCGCATTTCAGGCGGGATGTTAGGAGTCAGCGATCGTCTGCTTCGTGTCCCGCTTCCGCCGCCGCCTGCCAAATGCCAGTTAGGGAGAGACCTGATGTCACTATACTGCCGCGTCTCCTCGCCTCTGCACTCCCTGGCATCAGGAGCAGGCCCTCCGCCCCTGGGATGGGCAAGGCCAGCAGAGACACACACCTCGGGCTACTGACGCACCTGTGGGTCGAGACCCGACACCATCGATAAAGAGCCCTGCGTTGCGCTGCCCGGCTATTAAAGACAAGCCGATGTGTTCTTCTTCTTTCTTCCTATGTTCTTGCCTTCTTTTCTCAATGTGCGCTATTCAGCACAGCCGGACCTGCTGAAAACAGGGCCGGCAAGAAAACTGGATAGCCTACAAGGGGATAAGCCCCTCCCCCGCCTGGATCAAAGCTTGGAGCCGACCCTGAGGAGAGGAGGAGCTTATCCCAGACGTAAGGAATGTCCCATGACGAACCACTGGAGAAGGGTAGACGGTCTGCAAGTATTCTGGAAAAGCTAAACTCAAGCTGTTCTCTTCCACATGGGCCAACCTTCAGTGGAGTTAATGGGCACACGAGAGGCGGCCTTTTGAACTGAAGCTCCCAGGCTTTGGAATTCCCTGGCCCAAGCCCATCCCAAAGGGGCTGGTGGTTTGCTTCCAGAGCGTCTTTTAAAGGGGGCTAAACCCAGCAGGATGTCTTCCTTGCCTGGTTCTCTTAATTTCTTGGAGTTTTTAATTTCCCCCCCATCTGTTCTGTTGGGGGAGGCTTTGTTGTTTCTAGTGGCAGGCAATTAGTTCTTATGTCTTGATTTTTATTGCTGTTTTCAGAGTTTGTTTTTTGTTTATAAAATTCTTAAATTTTGTGTTTTTAATGTTTTTAAACTTGCAAGGTGTCCTGAGGATGGGACATAAATGAAAAAAATTGTATAGAAAGCATGGGCCATTCTTAAGTCTGCTGACTGCCCTTGAACCTGAATCATAATGTGCATTTTGCTGATCAGTAGGTGAGAAATTGAATCTTAATTCTTCATACCCACACCACTCCATTATGAAGTTAGAGAACAATAGTGTGTACTGCATTACTAGTACCAATGTATGTATACTACGTATACCAGCACCATGCATATATAGCGAAAACTAAATAAAGCGTTCGTAAATTTATACGTTCTAAGCAGTTCCTCGGTTGCTTTACTGTAAACTGCTTTGAGTAAAGTAGCCTATGAATCTAGACAGATTCTAAAGTAACTAAAGAAGTACATTCTATGGATTTGGCATGTTTTGAATGGACTGTAGGTGTGTAACTGCACATACCTTTAAGAGATTGATGTCCTTTTCTAAAACTGTGCTACAATTATCATTTCAGTGCTGAAGCCCCAGATGAAATTCAGCGTTCAAACCATGTGTCCTATTGAAGGAGAAGGGAACATTGCTCGATTCTTGTTCTCTTTGCTCGGCCAAAAGCACAATGCGGTGACAGCCACTCTGATAGACAGCTGGGTAGATACGGCCATCTTCCAGCTGAAAGAAGGGAGCAACAAAGAAAGGGCCGCGGTTCTGCGATCCATGAACACAGCCCTGGGCAAGACATCCTGGCTTGTGGGAAGTGAACTGACCGTAGCAGACGTTGTGACCTGGTGTGTACTGCGGCAGACAGAAAGCACCAATGCTGTCCCCACCAATGTGCAGAAATGGCTCAAATCTTGTGAGAACCTGGCACCTTTTCAATCTGCTCTCAAGCTGCTGAAGTAAATCTCCACTGCCTACAAAGGAAGAGGCTTAACTATCTTCTGTCTCAGCTAGTGAGCATAGGCCTCAACTGTTTGTGTGAATGAAATTTTAAATCAGTCTAAAACGTTACAGGGCAATAAAATCAACAGAATTGGTTTCTGGTGGCTATCCTTTTGAAATTAAGTGTTGTTGGTATGAGGGTAGAGTTTGAGGCTGGGGTGAATTTACTGAGTACTGTACCACCAACCACTGCTTTTTGACCAAAGCAGAAACCATGCGTATTACATATGGCATAGATGAATTTTTTTATTAAAAAATAGATATTTTACAGAATATATAAATATAAATTATACACGTTAGCAACCCTAAACAGGAGAACCAGAGTGCTTCATTCTGTCTCTCTCTTCTCTTTCCTGTAAAAGTAGCTTCACTTGCTCTTTCAGTGATTTGATTTCTTCCTCTTGTTGCATCACCTTCTGCTGTAAACTGCAAATAACCTGAAAGCACAATTCACAGATACGATTATGTCTGTATATCAAAACCCTTCCAGTGTCTTGTACAAAAATCAATGTCTGTTTTGAGATTTTCAAAAGCCACTAACTGGACTCTAGCCTAAACCTCAAAGGAAACTAGTTTTGCCTCCTAAGGAATGTTTATCACAAGAATCCTATTTTCATCTTTTCCATTAAATCCACCACAAGCAGAGGAGTGGAGGAGCACTTACCCTATTTAGATAAAAATTATGATGATGCTGAAATACCCAGACTCTTTTCAGAAAGACTATTAAATTGAGTTGCCTATCTACTCAAGATGATTTATAAACTGCCTGTTCTTCGAGTTTCTTTGAGGCTGCTTATATTCATGTCAGAAGTTCTAACTCAAAAATAAACTACACCAAGGGTACCAAATCACATTAGTTTGTATACAGTCAACTGTTTCACAAACCAACAATGAATAGCAAGCACTATGGCTGATTTCAGACAACAGCTGAGAATCAGCCCATGGTCTGTCCCCTCTCTTGGCTCCAGAAACTGACACTGTTGAGGAAGGGAGAGAATGTCAGAAATGGACTTTTGTTTATATAAACTGGGAGACAAGCTAAAACTTACATTTGCTGTATTGTGGAAGAGTTCACTTTCAAGAAGTTGACCAGCGGTTGGCCTCTGAGAGGTCACTTTACTGGTTAGCAGCTTAACATATTTTGTCTGTATTGGCCATTTTCCACTGAAAGAGACAGGAATGTGACCATTCCTCAAACCCGTCAGAATTTCAGCTCGTTCCATTTCTGTTCCAAAAGGCTGAAAGAGTTCTAGCAGGATGACACCGACACTGTACATGTCCGACTAGAGGCCAAAAAAGGAAAAGCTCAGCATTAGTCCTTAAAGCCAAGGCTGTTGGACCGCCGATCAAAGATGAAAACAGAACTATTTGAAAAGCAACATGGTCTATTCTAAGAGCTGGCTGACTCTCGTTCAAACATAACTGTTTGAAACACAGTGACCCAGTGAAAGAGGCAAAAACAAGATATTTTGCAAACATTTTTTGCCAATTTCCCTGTTCAATCTATCCAGTATGAGTACATGGTACACACACAGCATTCAGTGAATTGCTGACCTCACTCTGGCACTGAAAAGCAAGCTTTGAACATACCACATCTACATCTAGAGCTCAGATATGAACAAGAAGAGGGACCCGCAATACTCGCCGGGGGGGGGG